ATTCTCCAGAGATCATTTTTTGTGAAAAGAATGGAAAGTGAATGCTAGTCAGACAAAAATGACAGACGTCCACCACGTGCCCCAATCTCCTTGTTGCAGATATCACAGGTCTAGTCCACTGAAGTTTCATCCCTCTAGAGACTGTTTTCAAAAATCACATTAGACTACCAAGTATACAACTGCCTTTATATTCAACACAGAGGGTTGTGTTAAACAATTTATACAGCAGCAGGTGCATGTCTCCTGAATAGAAGAAACAAACCTTCCATACAGAAGCCGACCTTGTCAGATGCCAGAAAGGAAATTGTACCTGACAAACAAGAAGTCAAAGAAAAAAACTGTAATCATTTTATACTACAAAAGCTTAAAAGTTCTTGAAAATATAAATTTTCCAAATCCAAATATTCCAAAATATAAATTTTCCAAGTATGCTTTTATGAGGTGAAAACACAAGATTTTCATAATTAAGTTATTTACTTCCTTAAGCCATACTGTCTTCCGTTTAAATGACAGGATCTTATTTCTTACCTCTTCTATTTTCCAAAACGACAATGAACTGGCAGGAAGAAAATGTTTTAAAGAAAATCCATAGTCGCTAAGAACAAAAACAAACTCACTCAGTTAAGACATTTCAGGGAACTGGAAGACAGAGGCAGGTGGGGTGGTAGAGAGGCAGAGGAAGCCTCAGGGCCCAAGCAGAGGAGGAGGCAGCTTTAAAAAAGTCAAGATACCATAGCCACCTGAACTCAAGCATCACACTGGAAACTGAATATAGAGTGGAAAGCCAACAGAAATGAAGTTCACCAAAACTCTGTAATCCAAAATGCAATTCCCCGGTCAACCATACCTAGACATGTGAAGAGTTCTACTCAACTTCTTGTTTTACTCAAAAGTATGGACACATTACCAAAATTCACAAGACACCGAACAGACTAAATAATACAAATGTCCCCAAAGAAGAGATGAATTAAGGAACAAAAAATAATAATATCTTGTTCTTTTTTTAAAAGAGATCTATTTTGATTTTCTGTATGTAAGTGTTTGCCTGTATGTATGTCTGTGTACCACATGTGTGTCTGGTGCCTTTGATCATGTGAATGCTGGGAACCAAGTCTGGGTACTCTGCAAGAGTGGTAAGAGTTCTTAGCCAGTAAGCCATCTCCCCAGCCCCCATTTATTTATTGTTTATTATCATAAGTTTTCCTACACTGGTTCTTAACAGTATGTACAGGGACTTTTGTAAAGCTAAGGGTATTAAATAAATTTTAAAAAAACAATTCTTACAAAGTAAAAGTGCTTTGGAAGTAATGATCAGTATGGCATATATTGATTTTATAGTATTATTAGAGCATGGAGTTGGCAAGCCATTTGTTTCCGTGATTTAAATAGAACTTCACAGATTTAATATAAAATAATGAAATCACTAGCATGATACTAGTCATGGTTCTGAAACAACAGACTAGTAAGTGGTATATATAATATGCAATCTCCAAAATCTCAAATTCTACACTGAATTTTAAAACATAAAGGATTATATAAGAATGTGAATTCAACTTGTTTTTCTTAATGATTTTTATGAAGCAGTTTATGGTTGCCATTTCTTCTCTATGAAAACATTTCAAGTAATGCATTCAGAAGGAATACTGGGAACAGAAAATTAACACGGGAACACAGCCAGAGTATATAGCTATGAGTGCTGAATTAGGCAAAGTTTAAGGAGAAACAGGCTACTTATGTAGCCTCAGATTTTTGGCCCAAAATATTTAGTAATTTCCAAAGGAAAAATACTGATCCTGAGTTGCATATGAAGACATTTACTTAACTCACAGAGTAGAGTTCCAAGACCATGGCACTAGCAACTTCTTGGCATGCTGGAAGTCTTTTGACTACATCATGGTAGGAGTGTATGTAAGAGGGAATGATCATACATCCATCCATGGCTAGGCAGGAAGTATGGAAGATTCAGGGATGAGGTATAGAAGAGGGAGGAGGGAGGAACTGGAGACTGAACTCAAGACTTGGCACATACTAGGTACATACTCTACCAGTGAACCACACCCCAGCCTCTTGTGGTCTCATTTTGAGATGAGGTCTTGCTAAATGACATGGGCTAGCCTTAACTCTCTTGTCCTTGGCCCTAGGTAGACAGGATTACAAGCACCCATCACCACATTGAGCTCAGGCTGCGGTTTTTTGCTTTTATTTTATTATTTTTTTATACAGAACAACCAGCAATAACAGGAATTTCCAAGATTTCTGAAACTGCATCAAATCTCTCCCATCAGTGATGCCCAATGAGTTTATGGCCTCACACTGGAGTGCCACCTCTTAGCCTTTCCACTCACTCCCAACAAGTCATACTGGGGACAAGCTGTCCCCACATTATGGACTTCCCTGATGGATAAACTGTCCCTAAACCACAGCTCTGACTTAACAGTAAAAACACCAGACAGGTATCACCTTAACCAAACTATCAGCACATTTATCATGACTTACACCCTTTGCCTGATATGCTGAGGACAACTGACCTCATAATAATCTTTCAAGAATGCACAACATGTATCTAATCATGAGTAAACATCAAATAAACCCAAATAGATACATCTAAATAACAGAAAGGTACATGTCAAAATAAGGGAACACTGAACAGCTGTTGACAAGCTCCAGAAGATTAAAGAGGGGGAAAAAAATGCCTAAAAGACCAGTGGAATCCAGTCCTGCTCCTGAAACTCAGAGTAGGGATATTCTTGAAAGTAGTGGCACAGTGTGAATACAGCCTGTAGTTAAGAGTTCCCCAGCAATGTTACTTCCTACAAGTTGAAAATTCCCTGGTTATACGTTATCACAAGGAGAAGAAGAGTGGTGGATTTTTGTGAACTCTACCTCCTCTCTTCTGTAAGTCTAAATTACTTTAAAATATTTTTTTAAAAAGTGAAATTGCTGCTATCAAGCCTCCTATGATGATCAACACATTTGCCCAGTTATCTTGTACCCTTTGCTTCAGCTTTTTGTCTACTTATTCTAAGTTCTACCCTTTCCTACATTTCCCTTAAACATTCCAAATTCTTAAACTTAGGACTTCTCAAAGTAGACTCCTTTCTTCTCAGCACCAACATAGTCTTCCTGTCTGGCTTCAAAGTAACTCAACGGTTACGACTTTATAAACACCTTAATATATCACGGCTTCAATGTAATCAACAATATACAAAGTACTTTTTAAATATTCTAGCTTTAGCTGGGCATGGTGCTACTTGTATGCCTTTAATCCCAAAATTCAGGAGGCAGAGGCAGAGGCAGAGGCAGAGGCAGAGGGATCTCCAAGTTCCTGGCTAGCCTGGTCTATAGAGAAAGTTCCAGGCCAACCAAGGGCTACACACACAGAAACCCTGTCTCAAGCAAACAAAATAAAATAATATACAAACAAGCAAGCTCTGAGATGCTTATTGTAAATACTGTTATTTTGCAGATAACACTGTAAGACTAGAAAAATTAACTGATGAGACATTTAGTAAATGTAGAGGTCTGAATTTAAATCTAGTTTTTTTTCTCTGACTCCAAGATCAATTACACGATTATAGAAAGTGCTTTGCATTTAAAAAGATTAAACCTCCCCAGCTTCAGGCAACCAAATTACATCTAATAAACTAAGACTTTAAAGATAGTTTAAACTCCCTTTAAAATGTCAATGATTTACAATCAAGAATTATAGCATTCAATAAAAATGATTACCCTAGCATAACCTTTGTTTTAGAGGTAAACATCACTCTTCTCTTCAGCCTGTATCATACGAAAACTATTTTATCATAGCAGTTTCTTTAAAATACCGAGAAGCACTGTGCTCCGGAATTTCTTTAGCCTTCTGATATTTACAAGGCGGGAGGAAGTCCTGCAAGACTCTCAGCACCATGAAATCCTCTTTTTTTTTCCCCCCCTTTCATTCTTAAAAGATTATTGGGCAGCAGAGATGACTCAGTGAGAAAGGCACCCTGCCTCTGGGCCACACAACCTGACTTTTGGTCCCCAGGACCCATGTGGTGGAAGAAGAGAACAGAGTCCTTTAGGTTATCCTACGTATGTATCCCCCATACACACAAATAATGTAATTAAAAATAAAATACACAATAAGAAAGAAAAGCAAAAAGTCTAACAACTGAAACCAAATGCCTGCATCTCTTTAAGAATTATCCAACAGCGCAGTGTATGTTAAAAATTTACCAGGATTTGAGAGCCTAAAGAAAATAACTTTCAGCCCCACGGTGGTAGTGCACGCCTTTAATCCCAGTGTTCTGAGAGGCAAAGGCAGGTGAACTCGAGTCCAGCCAAGTCTACAAAGTGAGTTCCAGGACAAGGGCAGTCACACAGAGAAATCCCGGGAGGAGGAGGGAGAGGAGGAGGAGAAAAGAAAGAAAACAAATTTCACATGGCTTAAGTGGAGAGGAGGAGGAGGAGGAAGAAGAAGAAGAAGAAGAAGAAGAAGAAGAAGAAGAAGAAACAACTTTCACTTGGCTTAAGTCTTTGCATGTTACCTAACTGATCTATCAAGTGGAAAACTTAGTAAGGTCCTAAAGTTAAAATTAACAGATGATCGAAACAAATTCCTTAACTCTGGAAGCTAAGTAATGGAATACTGTTAATTACACGGGCTGCACAAAGGGACAACAGCCCACCGAACCTGGAGGACTTGGCAGTGGGTGATGGAGGACCTTCTGAGGCCCCCCACCCTCATCTCTCCAACACCCGGCAACCTCAGACTCTCACTAAGTTGATCTGAACACCGGGGAAGCTTAAGGTGCTCGAGCGGGGGGAGGGGGGGCTGCAGAAGCCGAGGGGCTCAGGACGGAACTGGGCGAAGCGCCGCTCGACCAGGCTGTTTCACTCAAACGCCCTGTGTGGCCGCGCACGAGCCACGGGGAGCAGCCAGGAAGGAGCTCCTGAGCCGAACACCACTGAGCACCCCAGAAGCCTGGGGTGCCCAGGGGGCGGGAGGGGGCACCACTTGCCTCCCATTCTTGCAAGAAACGCTGGGCCTCGCCAGAGCCAACAGTTTTATGTCTCCTGAACTCGTCCTTCACGTACTGGTCACCCAGGGCTTTGAGGTCCGGGGGCAGAGCCCGGTGCAGCTGCAAGATGCGCTTGTACAAGGAGCGGACTCGCGAAACGTGCCGCCCCGGCATCGCGCCGCGCCTGCTCGCCCTGCTGCGCCTGCGCAGAAGGTCGGCGCGTCCCCGCCCCACTGGGAAGGGCGGAGGCAAAGGGCGCCCGACCTTCATCCGGTTTGGTCCGTCGTCGAATCCCGTCCTTCCGGAAGCCCTAATTTTGCTGCCGACAGAAAAGTGCCCTGCCTCTCTCTGCTAGAGAGGAGGCGTCTCTGCCATTTCTTGGTTCCCTAGAGAGACGCTGCTATGTAAGTCTTGAGTGAACGAGATGTTACCTTTCAGAGATAATCATCGTCGTTTCCGTTTCTCTTCGTCAGTGCCTTCTTATTAAAGATTCGAGAACGCTTCATCAAAACCAGTCTCCTCCAAAAAGTACTCCTGGGTTAATCCAAACCGTTTGTAGCTTCTTCGCACAGAGCTGCCCTGTGTCCTGCAAGCATAACTTCTCCCGGGTCATTAACACTAGCTGGTAGGCTTTGTTAGTCCAGGTCAAGTAGACTGTGGAAGAATCACGTGAGGTGTTTTAAGTGTATTTTTCCAAGGCCACAGCCATGGGATTCTTATTAAATAATGTGAGGTGGAACTCAGGAATCTAGATGTGGAGATGACAAGAAAAATGGAGCTTTTCCAGAGCCAATAACTCCTTATTCTTATTTTTTATTCCCATTACGTTTTTAATTCTCCAGCAAATCCTAATGGCTCCACCACCAAAATCACGCAGAAGTCAAACATCATTTCCAACATACCCTGTACCATAATCATCTCTTCCCACTGGATAGCTTCCTTATCTGTGTTCCTGCCTCTGGCAATTTTGAACTTCTGTTATGATCTACCTAGGTGTAAATTAGATAATGTCGTTCCTCTGTTTTAGGAAGGCCAGGCACACTCCCAATCGAAGGCCTTTGCACTTGACAAACATTTGCTTGCAAGCGTCTCTCATATGTATCCTCTTAAAAAACAACCCATTTTCCTTGCTCAGCTCAGTTTGAGAACCCTGCAAATCAGACCCCTCCTAACAGCCTTGTTTAAAACTGTTAACATAACCAAGCCAAAACTCTCATGCTACTCCTGTTTTTTTTTTCTTTTTCTCCATAATATTTACTACACCAAATTTACTTAGTTACTTGTTTGTTTCTCACTAGAATACTCAAGGAAGGAATCTTTCAGGAGGGGTG